AAAGTAGGTCACACACACACACACACACACACACACACACACACACACACACACGCTGGCAGGGAGACAAAGAGGGAAAAAGGGCATGGCAAACAATATTTACAGAGTAATGGAGGCAGGTGCATCATGAGTGGGCGGTAATATAATGTTGTTGCAGTGTCAGCAACTGTGATACTACATTATTAATTTACAACTCAGGTAATGTTATTTTTGTGATTTCTATACTATATTCTATATACGTTTTTCTCTTTGTCGTGGATTTCAGTAACAATGCTTTACCGACTGAAACGCTGATCAGGAGTTTCTCTCACACCCTGCACATGCTTATCTTACATTGATCTGTGTCTCCATTGATTTGCGCCTGAGAAGGGCTCAAATATACAGCCAGTCACAGAACTGTGTTTAGAAAAGAAATACAGGCAAATCACACCAACACAAACTGATGTGGCTCAGATAAATAAGCTGACGTGCAATCCGTGTCTTTGTCAGTTTTCAAATGAGCTGTTAAAATGTAAATGGCTTAAACATTTCTAACGTTTGTTCTGGGTGCTGGTTAGGTGGACGTGTGATGATTAATAATTCAACAGCCGTTATTGATCAGCGCCTGGGCTTCTCTGCAGTCAGATCCGTATATCAAGTAGGAGGGTCCGCTGCTCCAGAGCCTTTCATCTTGACCTGACAATACACATCCTCATACCAACAAACATGTGAAAAGATGCGGAAAACTGTAATGTGAGCTGTATTGTGAAAGAAGAGAGTGTGTTTGTGATGTCCTTGGACCTGAGGACAAATACACTGAGTTAGTTACAAGTTCATTAGGTACTTCTCTAGAATCTACTGCAATCAGAGCAGTGCAGTTCAGACAAATATTTAGGGTTTGAGCAACTTTTAAATGGAACTGGAAACAGGTCAAAATGTAATCTTACAAACTCTTTATTTTAGATGCACTGATAGGATTTTATATTTGCAGAAAGTAATCTAAATCAGTTTGGATGAATGGGGGAATAATGATTAAAGGCCGGTATGGTGTTATGACCACTACTCGCGATACATTTAAATGTTTTTTACAAGAAGATCCTGTTTCCATTAAATTATCCACACTCCCTGTTTCACTATTCAGCTGATTGACACTTGATGGCAATAAGGTGCAAAAAACCTTTAAGAAGATTGCAAGCTAGGAAACATGAATGCCCATGATTCACAACTTAAAATCTACCTTAACAGGTCTGAGGAGGACTTAAAAGTAAATCAACACCTTTGCACAGGCTACCTTTAAAGTGTAAACAAGTGCAGTCATGCTAGCAGCTCTGTTATGCTGTACTTAGGCATACTCTGCTTTGAGCGAAATGTTAAATGCTAAAGCTAAAGATAAAAGATAAAGTCTATGCTCAACAGAACATGCAAATAAATAAGCAGGTGTAATGATAACAATGTTGGGATGCTAGACAACATTTTGTGGCAATCCACTTATATTTACAGTATAGACGATAGTGGTGGACTGACTGACATTACCACCCACAAACTGCTGGCATTACGACAATTGAAGCTTCTTTTGAAGCAGTTTTTAGAACATTTGCGAACATTAATAAGACTTGTAAGAGAGGGTGTATCTTGTCACTGATTGACCCAAGGAAAGCCTTAATCATAAATGTGTGTGACATTAGTAAATACTAGTATTTACATGTTTCTTATCTTGGTTATAAACCCAAACTTGCTCACACATTTTAACAGCTCAGGTTTGGTAAATTAGAGCTGCAACCTTCTACAGTATATAAAGTGCTTGTGTCAAAGAGAATGTGCTCAAGTGTGAAGCACCATGGTGGAAGTACTGCACAATCTTTTCAGAAATACGTGACCTTGACCAGTGTGTTTCTTTATGTGTGTGTGTGTGTGTGTGTGTGTGTGTGTGTGTGTGTGTGTGTGTGTGTGTGTGTGTGTGTGTGTGTGTGTATGCATACTTCAATGTGTGAGAGAACTGAGAGTGATGTAAGGGGTGGAGGAGGGAGGAGAGGCGGGTAGGAATACATGAGACATTCAGGGGAGAGAAAAAGAGCATGTCTGGAGAAAAGGGTGTGGCAGGCCGGGCACCGAGCTGCATGGCTAACAGCTGTCTGACATTTAGAGGAGACTGCCGGTCATCTGTGATGATGCTGCATCAGTGCTGCTTCATCAGGGTTGATATGATAGATTTGAGTTTCACTAAGAGGCTTTTTAAAGAGGCGGATAAAATGCGACGCTCTTTTTAAATGGCTTTTTACAATCAGACCTGAAGGGTGAAACTTTTTTGAGCAATCTTAAAGTCTATTAAATGACAGTTAGAGCTATTTCTGTATCAAAGGAAATCATTTTCTATGTGATCCCAAAAAAACAAGTTATTTAAGAGACAAAATGATAAATGTCTAGACTACTTCTGACAGGGAGGGTAACATTGAACAATGAAACACTGACACCAACCTCTATGAATTAGCATCAGTCTCTCTGTTAGTGAAATGTTATGATTCATGGTTTATAGTGGGTCAGGTTGGCAAAGCTAACGGTCTATTTTAGTTTGTGTCTGTCCTGCCCAGCAGCTAATGTTTGACTCACAGCTGTTTGAAAAGCCCCGTTCCCAGAACAGACAACTTCCCACTCAACAAAAATATCTGGCTTTAGTGGTCCAGATATGCTAGCACAGCATCCACCTCCATAGTAAACCTGAAGTGGTTGGTTCTTCTACCCCTGTAGTCAAAAGGCAATGGATAATTACAGCTTTACAGCCACATGCTATTGTGTGTCTATTTATGATATCAAAATAATGGTTGAAGGCCATCCACACTCTGAGAATATAAAGTACACCTTTTTACCTTTAGGGGTACAATGGCTCATCACTGGGACAGTACCCTCAAAGGTACAGCTTTTGTACCCTTTACCATTGGTACAAGTTTGTACTCTTTCATTTGTACCATTTAATCAGCAGTCTTGTACATCTGGTAACAATTGTGTACCTTAATTTCATAGGTACACAATAGGTCTTTTTAAAAAGGTACACCATTTCTACATTTACGCATAAAATAAAAAACACATAATGAAACTTTGGAGATTTTACAAGGGTTAAATAGTTTTCAGTTTTCAGAGAGTTGATTTTTTGAGAGTTATAAGAGGCCAAGGGTTGATGTAATTGGTAATAATTTAAACTGATATTTTTGAAACATTACATATTTGACGGCAAATGCATCAGTCTGACTTATTCGAGTATATTTTAGACTTAGCTTTTATAAATCTGACTGATTTTTTAAGCAAATAAGTAGCAAATATAAATAACAGAAGGCTTCACTCTGTAACAAGAAAGAAAAACATTGAGGCCACAGTTTGTTCTTGCACATGATATTTCAGTAGTGGTCAAACATTTAACAATTCAGGCAGCGCGCAAGGCCAAGTCTTTCGTTGCAGCTGCTACTGGGTGATTATTAGTTCTTGTTTAGCATACCTGGTTATCTGATTTACATTTTTATGAGACAGCACAACTAATGTTCCATAGCAAGCTAATGATCAAATTCACACCGGTATTTAAAGCCGGTGCATTGCACTTTAGGCATTAGGGAAGAAGGGTGTATACATTAACCTAAAATATGTACAATGTAATGCAATTTCAGGCTGTGAATTATATATTGTTCCCACAGATCAGTAAATCATGACTTGACCACTTCCTGTTGACAGAATCATTTTACTTCTGGCAGTTTACAGGGGGGTTTGAAACTCCAATGAGAAATTAGAATTGTGGAATCAAAATATGAAAAATCCAAGTTAACAACAAACACATCTAAAGACTTATTTTTTTGTTCCATGCTGTTCATTCAGTGAGGGGTGTGTTAGGGGTCTCATGCCCTTACTATTTCTCAAATTCAGGCTACGGCCCTGTTTCAAACATATTAATAGATTTATCCCTCAAATATTAATTCTGCATGTTATCTTGAAGAGAAGTTTTAAAAAAGACGAGAGCTCTTTTCAGATTCATGTGAATGCTGCTCGATCCCATATCGGAAACGGTAGTGTACGAGGGGCTCCTGAATGCAGCACGGCTAGCACAGTGTAGGTGTGGAGCTGCAGGCCGACCCTGGTTCATCCTCATCCGCAGCAGCAGCAGCAACAGCACTGCCCCTCCCTCTGCTCCATCCACACCACTGACGGACGGTAAGACACACACTTTATTCCCGCGTTAGACAGCCTGACATCCCGCAGACGAGGCGGTGGATGTGCGCCTCTTTTCGACCGGAAGGTGATGTTGTAGGAATGTTAGAGACGGGCGGCGATAGACTGGAGAATGTTCTGGAGAGGCTGCTTGTTTTATAACACCGCATCGTTAATCTGGAGCGCAATGCACTGGTAGAGGAATGCATGCATTTTTTATATTGACGTTAACTGTATGTGAGGAATCGTGTTAGGATTGGTGTTTGCTGTGGTCGTGTATTAACTAGCCTTCATATGATATGAGTAACATGATGATTAAGAATCTAATTTCATATCGTTTGCATGTCCTGTTAACGAAGAGCCTACTTTTTTTAATTTGCTCCTAAAATGCTCCAATAGTAGCTTATATAGAGATGCTATGGGGCATTTATGTAATTATGTCACACACTGTACTTTCTGGTATGCTGTTGAGGCAATGGCCAGGATTTTAGGAGGTCATGAGTTCTGATTGCTCCCAGCACAATCTCACATGATTTAGCCACCAGAAAAGATAAATGATACCCTCTTTTCTATTTATATCTTAAACTATATTTCCTGTAAATGGGATTTTTCTATTTATTGAGTTAAATGATTGTTTAAAGCGTTTGTCACAATCCCAGGGATGTAATTTTACGAAATCCCTTGTTTTTTTACTAATCTCAAATGATCGAGTCAATATGTGCAATTGTAGGAAGAATGTCAACTCCTCCTTAGTTTGTTAAATCCCTAAAAAAATAAAAATAATATAGAGGCCATGTCACTTTAAGCCACAGCTCTTTCTGGCATTGCTTAATTATCTTCTTTTCACAAAGGATGATAATGCAGGATACCGTTTGGAGCTAAGGTAGGCCTTTAGCTTCTTGACTCCTGCCCACGCTTTAACCCACAGTGTATGTTCAGTTGTCAGCTGCCCTCAATTCAGTCAAGTAAATTGGGCTGACCTGATTTTTTAGATGGGGACAAAAGCATCTTTTGACCTGAAGGCAAGCCTCGCTGACTGTGGGGCTAAGCCTGTGGTCGGGCCGCAGCAGCTGGTCGGTTCATCTGCAACCTGTGTAGGGATGTGCTGGATTACACTTCACTCTCTGAATAACCCTTAATTTATGCAACAGGCTAGACAAAAAAAAGTCTAAAAATAGAAAAGCACACCGACGACTTGCAGACGTTTCATTTAGTGGCACGCAAGGCAGAAAGCGTTATTTCTTTGGTGTTTTATGTAAAAAATTGACATGTAAGGTTTCCCTGAGATGGCTTGTAGAAATACATACGTTATTGTTGATTCACGAATGGTCAACCTATTTATATTATTTAAATGCAATACCTTTGGACTGTTGCTGCAGCTAACAATTTTTTGTCGATCAATAGGTCCATAAGATGTCATTAAATTGTGAAAAGTGCCAATCCCAGTAATACAGTATTTACACACCCAAGGCGACAGCTTCAGGATAGATGAAACATTTTATTGATTAATCAACTAGTCGTTTTACAAAAGAATAACAAATAACCCTTTATTAATTGCTGAAAACATATTGAAGGCATCTTTAGTTTTTAAACAGGTAACGGCCTTTGGTGGGGCCTTATGGGGAAAATAGCACAATATATTTGATTAAATACCTCAAAAGCCTTATTGCAACAATATTGCAGGGTTGGCTTTTTGTACTCTCTCAAAATATGAACACATTGAGATTTTTTGATGAAATAAGTGGGAAAATATTAGAACCTATGGAACAGTCTTGTAAATTAAACACATTACATTACTTTACTGTAAAGCAGCTTTTAACAACAGGAAAAGATGACAACTATTTAGGGCTCCTCCTACACATTTCATTTTTATTGATGAATTAAAATACATGACATTTTATATAAAATATCAGCAACTAGTGAAAAGCGGCTTAAATATTCAGACCATGAATCCAACACCCACATTTAGATTATCATTGCATAATATATGCTCACATTCGAGAAACTCGAACAGAATGTTCCAAAATCATGGCTGTTGATTGGCTGATCGTCTTCATACTTCTATTGGTTGGTACAAAAACGATTTATTTGAAGATGAAGATTTTATCAATGTAACAATTAGTTTGCAAATAAAAACATGTCAATATTGGTTAGCTGCAGCCCTACTCCTGTTGTAATACATACACCAGTTTACCCAGCTGGTGGTTTATCATCACTACTGGAAGCTGTCTTTGAAATGTCCTTGAGTCGGCGTCCTCTCTCAGTGACTGAACATGTGGACACACAGGCTGAGCAGAGCAGCTCGGGTCATCTGCAACAGTGCTTCTGAAGGACCGTGTTTCATAATGTCTAACTGAATGCACTTTATTATTAGATTCTCCTTTAGAAACTCCCCCACCACCTCCCGCCACACACACCACCCTGTAGTGAGTGTGCTCTGTGAACTCCCATAATGCCTCAGGGCGGGTAAAGGCAGAGTGCTGAGCTCAGCAGGATCAGCAGGGTGGAGCGCGGAGGACACGGATGCCCAGCAACAAGGATAGGTTTATGCTGCTACAGTGGAGGAGTGGTCCCCTGCTGAATGGGGTTATATTCACTCCATCGATGGATTGATATCAAATCAGAAAAGAGCTGCTAATACCTGAGAGAGAAGACTTTCCATCATTTAACACTGATGTACTGGAAGTCTATCCCTTATTTCTGTTCTTGCAGAGCATAACTGTATTTCTATAGCTTTAACATCCAACTACACACAACGAAATCTGTGTAATCTTTACATCTTGTACTAAATGGGTCAGTACGCTTGAAATAAGTTGCTCTTCTTTTTGGTAAAGAGTGTCTGAATATTCATTATAAAAATAATATTGATTCTAATTCGCATCCCAATGCGGACATGGACGATTCTGCATCTCTGCAGTAGGGCTGAACGATTAATCGATTTTTAATCTAAATCGCGATTCGAAATTATGCGATTATAAATCGCAAAGCCGGCGATTTTTTTTTCCTTTTTTCTTTTTCTTCTTGTGTGTCAGTCATCCACACCAATCAGAAGTGCTGTGCTCCACATGTACCAGCCATTGTTAACCAATCAGAAGTGGATTGGTGTGGATGACTGACACACAAGAAGAAAAAGAAAAAAGGAAAAAANAAGCATCCAAGCCGGAAAATGTATTTATACTGCCATACCAGCAGAAACTGTGAGCATTTTTAGGCTGCTTCTGCAGAAATATTACTACTCAGAGAAATGGCCGTTCCAGCACACGAAAAAAGGCAAAATTCCTCGATGACTGGTTCGCTATCAGGGCTGTTTAGGAAAACTATCAGCAATAATATATATGGTGAGAGTATTAAATTTCTAGCAGAATTGATACATTTAAAATAATCTAGATCTTGGTTCTTTTGTTTGTATTCTTTGTTATTGTTTTCGTGCATAGTCTCTCTGCTCACACTCCAGTCCACGTTCTTGGCGTGGGTGCCAACCGCCAGGTAACACGAAGAAAGCACAAGAGAAAGAGAGAAGGCAAAAAAGAGAAGTTGCACTTTAAAGGTTCTTGCAATCCGGGGCCAAAAACCGGGAAGAGAGAAGGAGACAAATAAGAGCGGTGAGCGATTAAACACCTGCCAGAGGTTTCATAAGCTGCTATCTACCCTCTAGCTTACCAGTTAATCACGAATCAGAAGTTATGCTTATTTAACGACAACAGCTATAATCTTGGAAGCAAAGAAACTCACAAAAAAACTTAAAATGTGCGACAAAATAGTCTCAAACTATCTTTAAATAAGCTAACACTACGCCTAAAAAAGCTAAGCTAACATCTAAAGTCAACTGCTAAGTAACAGCCGAAAGTTATAAACAGCTAAAGTCTAAAACGCTAAAGTCTAAGCCCCTACAGTTATTATCCATTGGCCTCTGGGGAGTAACACGTTTGATTGCTAATCGCTCAAGTGACTGTAGTTAGCGCGTACTTATCGGGTACACATTGTCTTTAAGACGTTGAGTTGTCTCATGTGTTGGCTGCTTGTTACCATAGACTGATGGTTTTCATGAATATATGCCGTAACTAGTTATAGCATCGCCATTCACGACACGTTACCATTGGCCCATTGAAATGAATGCCGATCGTTCTCAGCTGAGCAGCGGGGCTTTAACCTCAAGCTAAGCGGACGGGCGTTTAGCTCATTAAGGTTAAAGTAGACTCGCATCACTTTATTCTTAAATAGTCATCGATTCGTATCTTGCGACAACGGAACTTCGGGATGAATGCGTCACAGCAGAAGGTTTTCTCAGCTGGCATTACACAAGTTAACATATAAAGATGCAATAAGAGTAATAGAAAATGAAGCCCATTTAGCAGCAAGTGTACACACAGTGGAACATATCACGTAGAGCTATCAAAGGCATACACAGGAGGGTGCCGGGCTATACAGTGAAAAACTTGTAGCGTACACGCGGAGTCCTTCAAAACAGTCGGCTCCACTAGGCAGGAGGTTTGCGTCTCTGGGGCTTAACTTTTAGTGAGTAGTTACACACGGATTTAGTGCTTATAAACCGTGCGTTACAACCACCGATCTAATGTCGACCTGGTCTATGTGAATAAATAGTCATTTTAATGAAATAAAAGGCTGAACAAACTGCGTGAGCTGTACATCTAGAGCGTAAGGTTGCCGTGTACACAGCATTATTAATTGTGTGAGTTATCTAATATTTGTATCTCCGTATTAATAGTATAATTCCAGCAAAGACCAACTGTGTATCGTACGATTAAAGTCTTAATGGCATATAAACTGTTAATAACATCTGGGACCTGTCGTTTGCGATCATTTTCTGCCTCTGCCTTAGCATCACATGCGACAAAATGCGATCAATTCGCGAAGCAGCGGGCCGGTTTAGCCACAGCGAGCATACGATGGAGACAACCACTCCAGGGCGGTGATGTGATAAAACACGCGGTAGCACTGATAAGGCACTAGAAATTAGGAACAGTAGTCATTGAATAGACGAC